GATGCATGCTTGAAATCCCAGAACTCTGGGAGGCTGAGGCAGAAGGATTTGAAGTTCAAGTTCAAGCCCAACCTGGGCAATTTAGCTACTTAGCCCTTGTCTCCAAAAACAAAGGCTGAGGATGAAGGTCCTGGGTTCATTCCCCAATACTAAAAACAAACAAAACTCACTGCAACAAAACAAGGAAAGTAAAGCTGATCTCACAGGGATGTTGTGAGATTTAAACCCTGAGCTAATGGAGATAGGTGCTCAGCACAGTGCCTGGCCTGGTACAGAGGCCCAGCTCTGTAAGGCCCTTTCCCTTTCAGGCTACCTGGACCCCATACTTTTTCTCCTTCCCTTCCCCTCTCCTCCCCTCTTCTCTTTTCTTTTTTCTTCCCCCTCCCCTGCTCTCACCATCTCTCTTTCTTTTTTGGGATACTGAGATTGAACCCAGCCCTTTTTATTTTGAAACAAGATCTCACTAAATTGCTCAATCTGGCCTTGAACTTGTGGTTCTCCTGCCTCAGTCTTCTGACAGCTGGGATTACACACACGCAAAGCCACACCCAGCACTGACTCTCTTTTGGTTTTTTGACACAGGGTCTCACTATGCAGTTCAGGCTGGCTTTGAACTCACTGTGTAGTCCAGGCTGTCCTCGAATTCTCAGCAATCCTCCCTCAGCCTCCCCTGTGCTGGGATCAAAGGTGTGTGCCATCATGCCCTGCCTCCGTATTTCTTTTTATTTTATTTTTTAAAATTACTAAATGTTTGTGATTCATAACAATTACATTCATTAACCCCAAATTTCTTAAACATAAAGGCTCATTGAAGCTTTCTTTTCTTCCTTTGGTTTGGCTCTCACTCATCTGTTGATTGATTAATTAGTTAATTTTTAAGAAACAAGGTTTTGCTACTTTGTCCAGGATAGTCATGAACTCCTGGACTCACAGGATCCTCCTACCCCAGCCTTCTGAGTAGCTGAGACTACACTGTACCACCACACCTGACTTCTCTCCTTGGCTTTAGATAGAACTTCTTTTTAGAACTTTTTTTTTTTTAAGAGACAGGGTCTCACTACACTGCCCAGGCTGGCTCCAATCCCTGTGCTCAAGCAGTCTGCCTGCCTCAGCCTCCTGAGTACTGGGACTACAGTTGTACACCACCAGCCTCAGCTTTAGGTATTGGTTTTATCTTTACTCTGGCTCTTCTCTCCTGAGGTTAACATCCCCAACTGCTGGTAGGATGTTTCCACCTGGATGCCCTTGTGCTTCCTGCATTTGGTGACTACCTCCACCTTTCCTGGGTGATGGCTCTCATCCTGTCTCCCAAGGAGCATGATGTCAGGTCTCCAGGCCACTAGACATTCAGTCCTCCTCATTTCAATGTAGGCCCAACACCAGGATTCTGCTTCCTTCTCAAAAGCTTTCCTCCTCCCTCATTGCTGTTAGAACACGCCCAACATGGCTTTCTAGTCTTCAATACCTCTAGCATATTTCTAGTCCACCTTATTTTTGCTTCATCTATTATTTTGGGAAGTATTCCACATTACAGACATAATATTTTACCTTTCTTATTTTTGACATTTCACCTTTCAATATTTTGATATGCATTTTTAAATAGAGTAATTTCCCTACACAATTTTTTATTAAATTTTATTTTATTTTATCCCATCCCCCCCAGCCCCCTTTCCCTACATAATTATATCACCACAGCTAACAAAATGAAAAAAAGTTCTTTTTTCTTTCCAGTACCAGGAATTGAACTCAGGACCTTGTGCTTGCCAGGCAAGTACAGTGCCATTGAGCTAAAACCCTGGCCCAAAAAAGTTTTTTCAGTGCTGGGGATTGAACTCACAGCCTCGTGCATTCTTGGCAAGTGTTCTCCCACTGAGCTGTGCCCCCAGCCTAACAAAATAATTTTGTCATGTCTAATTCTTTTTTTGGGGGGGGGTTTGAGATAGGGTCTTGCTATGTAGCTTAGGCTGGCTTTGAACTCACTGTGTAGTCCAGGCTGGCCTTGAATTTGTGGCAATCCTCCCGCTTCAGCTTCCTGAATGCTGTGATTACAGGTGTGTGCCCCCATGCCCGACCTCATGACTAACTCTTGTTCCAAATTCACATTTCCCCAGTTGTTCCCCAAAATGTATTTTGCAGCTGGTTTGTTCAAAGAGCAAATCAAAGACGAAACATTCTGAGATCTGACAATCTTTTTCTTTTTTTTTTTCCCCTGGGTATTGAGGATTGATCTCAGGGCCTGGAGCATGCTAGGCAAGCACTCTACCACTTTTGGAGTGGGGTTGAGATGGTCTCACTATGGTAGCTCAGGCTGGCCTCAAACTCTTGGTGATCCTCCTGCCTCTGCCTCCTGAGTACTGGGATTACAGGTGTGTACCACCTTGCTGGGCTTAAGCACTCTACCATTTTACTACATCTCCAGCCCAGGACTGCCAGTCTTGATCTTCAGACCACCTTCCCTGCCTCATCCTTCCCCAAGCCCTCAGAGCCAGCCAATCTCAGCCTGCCATATGCTTTTTTTTTGGTACCGGGAATTGAACTCGGTCGTTGCACTTGCGCAGCAGGTGTCGAAAACACTGAGCTAAATCCCCGGCTTGCCATATGCTTTTAAAATTGCTCCTTTTGTACAGTTCACTGCTTTCTGGTCCCCAGAACTGAGAACTTGCTGATTTATTCTTCAAGGTCATGTTGGAGGACTCCCCCATCTCTGAAAAATCCATGCTCCTCTGCTTGTCCCTCCCTCTGAGCTCTGAGCTTACTCAGTGGCTGCCAGGAGTTTCTGCCTTTTTTCCCCCAGTGTGGACAGAACCTGCCCCTGGTAGAGGGCAGGTCAACTGCCTTGCTCTCCCTGCTGCCCCGTGCCTAGCACATGCTTGGCATCTAGTGGCAGCAAAGAAAAGAAGCTGCTGAATACTTCTTTGGCATGTTGACTCCTCCACAGTGTGTCTGCCATGATAAAGGGGAGCAAGATCCAGAAAGAGCTGGAAAGCGCATTCCTGGAAACTAGTTCTAGTCTAGCCCAGATCACCTCCCCTTAGCCCTTACAGTTTCCTCCTCTCTTTGTGCACACACCCCAAGACTCAGGAAGTGGCTTTTGAGTCTGGACCTTAGGAGCCTAAGGAGTGGGATCCAGGCTGGGGCTGTGAAGGCTGACCCTGTGGTTAGCCTATTCACACCACCTCCCTCTGGAGGGGGGCAGCTCTCATGGGCTTGCTGAGTGGGGTGAGAAGTGCTGTCCAATGGTGTGAGATGGGGAAGTCCAGGGGCTCTGAGCCACCCGTACCTTAGTGCCCTCCTTGTGTCCCCACCATAACCGACTGATCCAGGGGTCTGGTGAGCACAGACTTGGTCAATTCTCCTAGGGTAAAATAGAAGAAATAAAGATAGGTAGGAAAGAGACAAGGAAAATTTTGTAATTTAGAAAATTATACTTTTCTCGGGCATGGTGACCCATTCCTGGAATCTCAGCATTTGGGAAGCTGAGGCAGGATTGTCATGAATTTGAGGCCAGCCTGAACTACATAGTAAGACTGTGTCTCAAAAAACCAAACCAGGGGCGCCGGGGATGTAGCTCAGTGGTGAAGCGCCTGCCTGGCAAGCACAAGGCCCTGGGTTCGATTCTGAGTATCAAAAAAGAAAAGTGAAAAAAACAAAACCAAACAAACCAGGGCCAGGAATGTGGCTCAGTGATGGTGATGGTGATGGTGATGGCATGCCTGCCTGGCAAGTGCAAAGTCCTGAGTTTGAAAAAACAAACAAACAAACAAAAACAACCCTCTCCCCCTCAATTTAAGGACACAAAGTCACCCAAGGTTATAGGAATTTCTTAGATTTATGCTTCTTTTCTTCCAGGCCTATCACACCCAAAATCCCTTAAAGATACTATAGGTCCATAATTTAGCTTAGTTGATAAAGGGCATGAAACTGATCTTAATATAAAGGAACTGGCTGAGAGGGTTCAAAGAATGTAAGAAAAACATCTTAGATCATCCATTTAAAAATATATATTGACCGCAGCACCTGCCTGGCAAATGGAAGGCCCCAAGTTTGATTCCCAGTACCAAATATATATATTATATATACATATATTTTATTTTGAGGTGCTCCTGTCTTTCACCTGTAAAACGGGCCATTATCTTTCTATGGGTGGGCCATCCTTTTCTCCCATAGACCAAGATGGAACTTCCTATAGATTCGCAAATTCCATAGGTTTCCACCTGCTCAAAAAGAAAAAAAAAAGAATTCTCAGCTCCCGAAAATACTACATCTCATTCTCTGAATGCCCACATTCCCTTATGAGTGTTTTTTCTTCAAATCTTTATTCATGCCCCTTGACTGACAAGTCCTGAAAATTCTTTTTCTGCTACAGGAGTCAGCGAATTTATTCTGAGGGCAGAGTAAGTTGAGATTCTTCACCTCCTCTTTTGGGAACCTCTCTGGACCCCCTTCAGGGACACTCCCTCAGACAGAGACCCAACTCTCACGTGTCCAGAATGCCAGGTCCCCAGCCTAGAATGTTTAGGAGACTCCTAGGACAGGACAGGCACTTCCTGGAAATGTTTACTCTGTTCCCATCCCATTCCAGGCGGCCCACAGCTTTCTGCAGACTGCGGGATGGGAACGACGGGAGCGGGATGGGCTCTGGTGGATAGGTAGGAGGCGTCTCGCAGACCACCTCGTCCCTTTGCCTCAGCTCTGCCGTCAGGGTGCTCGGAAGGCAACTGGGCCGCCCATCGATCGGTCCTCGGTGCTTCCCGCCTCCCCTGCCTGAACCCGAGCACGGTCGACCCCGCTTCCATGAGGGCCGGGGCGCACTGAGGCGCGGCCCCGGCGCCGTCCCGTCGGGGGCGGGCGGGGCCAAGTGGCCCAGGGCTGGCGGGCGGGGGGCTCGGCCCTGCCCTCGCCGCCGTGGTGACTCAAGCCGCAGCTGTTCCCGCGTCACGAGGGAGGCCGCGGCCGGGGGGGAGGGGGCTGTGGCCGGAGCCGGGGCGGGGCCGAGCGGCGGGCGGGGCGCGAGCTGGGCGCGCCGCCAGAGAGCCTCGGAGCCGCGGCGGGAGAGGATCGCACAGCCTCTGGGAGTCCGGGTGAGGCCGCGGCGCCCACGACGGGCGCGGGGTGGGGTGCGGAGACCCCGAGAGCCCCTGGCCTCCAGAGACGAGCCGTTTCCGAGGCCCTCGAGCAACTTTGCCTCCAACTCCTGCGGGCGGGCGGGCTGGGGCACCGGCTCCACTTTAGGGGACGTCGGCACCCCGCGGAAAGTGGCGGGGGTGGGTCGAGGCTGGGTGGAGGACCGATTTTCGGGGCTGGTTGGGTGGAAAAGGGGCTGTTTGACGCTCCGGGCGGCGGCCCATGGGGCGACACCAAGCTCGAGCCCTTCTGTCCTCGAGTCCGCCTCGCGCTCCCGGGCCGCCCGGGAGCACGGGCGTCGCTCCCACCCCCCTCGGCGGGGAGCGGAGGGGGCTGGGAGACGTGGACGCGGCCACGGCTTCCGGGTGGGCGGGGCCGGCATGGGGGCTGGGCAGGGAGGGCCTCGCGGGCCGGCCGGGAGCGCGGAAGCCGGGGCCCCCTCGGCCTGCTCTCAACACCCGCGTCCCTCCCCGCCTCCCTCCCCCAGCCCAGGCCCAGCAGCCATGGCGGTGGAAGGAGGAATGAGATGTGTCAAGTTCTTACTCTACATCCTGCTGCTGGCGTTTTGCGTGAGTGGGGAGGCGCGGCGGAGGGGGCGCGCTGGCAGAGTGGGGGCGCCTGGGCGCGGGAGTGGTGAGGCTGAAGGGACCCGGAGTGGAGGCAGCTGGAGACCAGATGTGGAAGGAGAGCCCCGGAAAGGGCCGAAGGCAGCTTGGCCACTCCCTCCAGCTCTCCGGACCTCGGGAGGCTAGTTTGGACCCAGAACGGCCAAACTGGATGCGCAGCACCCCCACCCCACCCCCACTTCTCCTGGCCCTTCCTGTCTGGTGACCCAACCACTTGTGATATGGGGCCATGGGGCAACCATCCAACGGCCCGATGCTATCACCGAAAAGGCTTCTCTTCACAGCTGCCCATTCGAATCCACCTTTCCCTCTCCGCTTGTCCTCCCAGCCCAGCTGCTTGGGAGGGAGGAAGGGCGCTGCCCACCTTAATTTAGCTCACGGCCCTAAAGGCTACTGTTTGTCCAGGGAGGGCATGGCACTCTCGCGCCCTTTTCTCCTCCCTCCCCTGAGGACCTTAGTCACTGGTGGCCGAGTGAGGGGGCGGGTAGGTCTGGTGGAATCTACCTGAGATCCCGGGAGGCCACCGAAAGTACGGTACGGTACGGGGTACGGTGCCGGGTACGGTGCGTACTACTGTGGGTCGGGGAGTATGTGCCTTGGGGTCAAGTTTCTGTTTATTCTTTTTTTCATTTGATCTAGCCCTTGGGTGAAAAGCTGCTGAAAGGAAGGCGTAGCTCCTAACTCGCTGAAGTGTCTACAGTGGTGGCGAACCTGTGGCCCCTGTGTTGTTTTCTTTTAAAACAAAAGATGTTAATGTATGAATTGTTTTTTCTTATTTCTTACCAGGAATCAAACTCAAGTCCTCGTGCTTGCTGGGGAGGCACAGTGTCACTGAGCTACATCCCCCGCTATTTATTTTTTGAGACAAGGTCTCACTATGTAGTCCAGGCTGTCCTGGAGCTCACTATGAAGCCTGGGCTGGCCTTGAACTGGGAGCAATCCTCCTGCCTCAGCCACCTGAGTGGTTGGATCAAAGGCATGGACCACGACGCCCAGTTCAGTTTTTTAGTTTAGTTTTTTTCTAAACCAAAACCTCAGTATTCAGGTTTAATTGCAGTATTGGCACTTTGCGATAAATAAGTGGGTTTTGGGTTGCAGTTTAGGCACTTATCCCTAAAAGGTTCACCATCACTGGCCCTAGAACAGCTCCCTAGCCTTCACTTGGGGCAAGGATGGAACAATGTCCCCCACCCCTTTGAAAAGTTTCCAGGAGGTGTGAGAATCTCTGCCCTGGATGGGGCAGGTCTGTGTCCTTGGTGCATCTGCCCGCCAGCCTGGGGGCCTCTGGACTGAGTTGGGTCTAACTGCCACCTTCCTTCCCCTAGGCCTGTGCAGTGGGCTTGATCGCTGTGGGGATAGTGGTCAAGCCTATCCTGAGTGGGACCATGAGCCATGGGGCTACTGGCAGCCTGCTGCCTGTGATCATCATTGCAGTGGGGGTCTTCCTCTTCCTGGTGGCCTTTGTGGGCTGCTGTGGGGCTTGCAAGGAGAACTACTGTCTCATGATCACCGTGAGTTCCTGGGATGTGGGACCAGCGTGGGTGCCTGGGACTGCTGGGGGCTTTTCTAGGGCAGAGGCCCATAAGGGTGGCAAGGTGGGTGGGCAAGGAAGAGCTCTGTGAATGGTCAGGGAGTGTCTGGGCTAGAGCAGACACTTCTCACCCTGACTTCTGTCCTTTGCTTCTGTAGTTTGCCATTTTCCTGTCTCTTATCATGCTAGTGGAGGTGGCCCTAGCCATCGCTGGCTATGTTTTTAGAGACAAGGTAAGCAGGGAATAAGGGGAGAGCCCTGCCTCTGGCTGCTCTGGGACCCAGGTACCTGATTTTGCCAACATTGTTCCTTTTTGCTCTCAGGTGAGAGCAGAATTTAATAAGGACTTCCGACAACAGATGCAGAATTACCTAAAAAACAATGATACAGCTGCATTTCTGGACAAGTTGCAGACAAAAGTGAGTAGTGTCCATGGGAGCAGGGGTAGTGGCAGAAGAGGAGCTTCATCTCCACGTGCAAAGTGGAGGTTCACTTGGCAACATTTCCTCCCCTTTCTTTCCACTCCCCCAGTTTGAGTGCTGTGGGGCTGCTAACTTCACAGATTGGGAGAACATTCCTGGCATGGACAGGGGCCGAGTTCCTGACTCCTGTTGTGTCAACACCACCAAGGACTGTGGCAGGGACATCAAGAAGCATCCTGTCCACACTGAGGTAGGAAAAAGATTGAGATAGCACAGGACCTGAGAAACCTGGGGGATGATTTAGGAGACATGGGGTGGTAGTAAACAGGGTCAGGAATGAGGAGGGGATCTGAGGATGCTGGGGTGCAGTTTTGGGACAGAGGGTGGGGAAGAGACCAGGTAGACCAGAGGAGGTGGTAGGTTTCTGATGGTGCTCTTGCAAAGTTTGCCTGCCTCCCTTCAGGGCTGCGTGGAGAAGATTGGGAATTGGCTGAGAAAAAATGTGCTGTTGGTGGCTGCAGCAGCCCTGGGCATTGCTTTTGTTGAGGTGAGAGATGCCCTGGGAAGGGCTAGGACTAAGTTGGGGCTTATGGGGAGCAGGGGCTGTGGGGAGCAGGGTGGTGAACAAGAGGTACTGGCCTGGGGACGCCTGGGTGTGTCTGGGATTCCTTTCCACCCTCCTTGTCTGTCTTCCGTTCTAGGTCCTGGGAATTGTCTTTGCCTGCTGCCTTGTGAAGAGTATCCGAAGTGGCTATGAAGTGATGTAGGGGGTCTGGTCTTATTAGCCCCTCAACTTGGGGAGTAGAGTAGTATCCCCTGGGTTTTTCAATTAAACGGATTATTTTTTCAGACCAAAAAGAGCGATGGTTTCAGTTGTCTCAGCGCGCTATGACCCCTTTCTTTTCCTCTTGTTCCTGTCCTCTGGTACTTCACTTCGCTGTGTGTGCCTCTGGGAAAGGCAGGCCTGTTGGGGGAAAGTGTTTGGGAAAGAAGGATTTTACCAAAGGTGTTGGCTGGGTTGGCAGTGGGAAAAGTGGGGATCCAGAGGAGGCTGTGGTCCACTCCTGTCCTGTTACTTAGTCTGCTGCTGCCAGGCTTGGTGTGGGGATATTTATGAAACCATTTGTGTAAGTCCAAGGGATTTCCTGTAATGCCACCTACCTGGTAGAGCCCAGCCCACATCTACATGAGATGCCCAGCACACTCCCTCCTGCTCATCTTCTGGGGGACTTTGCAAAATAAAGCCCCTTGAGACCTGCATGGCCAGCACCCCTCATTCTTTTTTTTTCCCCCTTGTAAAAGGGTCTCACTGTGTAGCCCAGGCTGTCCTTGAAATCATGGCAGTCCTCCTGCCCCAGACTCCTGAGTGCTGGTATTACAGGAGTGTGCCACCATGCCCAGCTCTTCATTCTTAGATAGTAGGAGAATCTGAGTATTACTTTTTCTTCCATGAGCCCCATCGGGTCTTGACTCATCATTTCCTCTTCCTTGCCACAAAAAATAAGGCTATACCCACTTTTATTCCCAAATAGAGTTGTAACCTTACCTCTTATAGAAAATAAGGGGAAAGTGCCCTCTTGTGGCCACCCTTACAGGTGCAATTTAAGACCACCCATAAACCCAAGACGGTTTCCTCACGCCCCATTGGGTACTGGCTGAAGGTTAGCACTTAGGTGGGGTCAGTCTCCAGCGGAGCATCTTTATTTCTGTCCAGCTACTTTAAAAAAAAAAAACATTTATTTTAAATGCCTATTTTGTGCCATGTAGTAGGCAGTATCATGGTGGGGACAGAAATAAAAGTCCTTGCTCTTGGAAAAACAATCTTGCCAGAAGGCTGGGCTCAGGAGACTGACTGGGCAGGCTTAGGAAGGAGCCAGGCGAGCACGGAATCCACGAGGCTGGCTGGCAGGTAGGAGGCAGGCAGCCAGAGCAGCTTGGCATCCCAGCCTGGGCTGTAGCGGTTTCGGGGGTGGCGAGCAGTCAGGGCATGCTCCACGCATCTGCTCACCTTGGTTAGGTCCGGGTCGCAGATAAGATTCATGAGGCGCCGCTGCACTTTGAAGTCTGCAGCTCCAGGGTGGGTACAGTCAGGATCCCCTCCCCAGTCCAGCCCATCCTAGGCTCTACTTGCAGATACTTGGGCCTGGTGCCCCGAAGCGATGGGGGGCGGGTGTCCTTAGTCCCCTTCGCAGTTGGGGGTCTTGCCAGGTTCCACGTGCCTGGAGGCTCTCTGTGGCAACCCTTCACCCCTGCCCTCTGCCTGGGAGGGTGACACGGGACTGGCCACTGGCTCTCATTCCCTCCATGTGCACCCGAGGGCCCTGCTACTCACATGCGGGGAGGAAGGCGTCCCCGTAGTGGGCCTGCAAGGCTGGAGGTAGCCGTGCCCAGCAGGCCTGCAGGGTGCTCTCCAAACTCTCCAGGTTGGTCACAGGGGTTTGGAAGAAGCCAGGCTCCACGATGGAGACTCGTACCCCAAAAGAAGCCACGTCTCGCCTGCAATGTGGGCAGAGGGGTTGCTGGGTTCTTGTTCTAGAGGGTGGGGACTCTCAGGGGTGTGGACAGGGAATCAGGGACAGACCAGATATAGAGTCCTGATGTTCACGCTGTTGTCCTGGAACTAGGGGCAAGTGGGCATGGGCAAGAAGTACTTTTTTTGTTTTTGTGGCACTGGGGACCAAATCCAGAGCCTTGTGCAGGGTAGGCAAGTGCTCTACCACTGAGCTACATATCCCCATCCAGAGGGAGATGATTATGATTTTCCTTTTTGAGGTGGGGGGAATAGGGTCTCACTATATAGCCCAGGTTAGCCTTGAACTCTTTTTTTTTTTTGGTACCGGGGATCAAACTAGGGTCCTTGCACTTGCTCAGCAGGCAGCAAAACCACTGAGCTAAATCCCCGGCCCAAAGAATTCACCCAGATTTTTTTTTGATGCCTGGGATCGAACTCCAGTCCTTGTGCTTAGGAGGCAGGCGGCAGAACCACTGAGCTTTTTAAATCCCTGGCTCTGAACTCTTGATTCTCTTGCCTCAGCCTCCAGAGTGCTAGGATCATAGGCATGCACCTCTTATGTCTACGCCTCTTTATTTTCTTCTTTAGCCAAGCAAGGGTCAGCAAACTTTCATAAAGAGCCTGATAGTAAATATCTTAGGCATTGCATGGCAAGAAAGATAATTACTGATATACAACCATTTATAATATAACTAAAAAATGTAAAAACCAAGGGTGGCGGAGAGCCAGGTGTGGTTTCATATGCCCATAATCCCAGCACTCAAAGGAGGTTGAGGCAGGAGCAAAGCCACAAGTTCAAGACTAGTCTGGGCTACATAGTCCAAGGCCAGCCTGGACTACATATCGAGACCCTGTCCCAAAAACACTAAAAAAAAAAAAGAAAAAGTAAAAACGGTATTAGCTTGAAGGCAGCAGGCAGGATCTGGCCTGAGAAATGCAGTTTTCCAATTCTTGATCGGGGCCAATCTTGAATAGCCCCATTTCCCAGATCCCCAAACAGGATTGAGTCCCAAGTGCTGGGCATGGAGGGTCTAGAGTGGCATTAGCTGGAGTGGGAGGATCTTATGGGGACAGCAGGGATACTTGATACTGCTTTGGCTCGGATGTGGAGATCTGAGTACGAAAGATGTGTTCCATGGTGCCCCTTGGGAAACTTACTGAGGGATAGGACAAAAGGAGACGCTGAGATTATCTGCTAGGTGATGTTGTGGAGGGCACCTTAGAAGGTTGGCCTCGGTTTGGACAACTTGGGCTTCTCCAAATTCAGGTCCTGCCATTGTTGTCTTGTCCTCATCAAGACTCCCTGTTGTCATGGAATTTTGAACATGACTGTTTAAAGATGAGGGGCAGGGGCCTGGGATTTTGCTCAGTTCTCTACTGCCTGCCTTGCAAGCGCAAGGTCCCGAGTTCAATCCCTGGTAACAACAAAAAAAATGAGGGCCAGGAAAACTGATTGGGCTCCATACATACGCAGACTTGGGCTAAGTCCCAGTACTTTCACTAACCAATGTATACTGGCTGTTGGGAAAATTAAAGGAAAAAATGTTACCAAAAGCTACTTGCTCACTAATGACTTTTTTTTTTAATGTTTTTTTTGAGACCGGGCCTTGCTATGTAGTTGAGGCTGGCCTTGAACTCACTATATGACCCAGACTGGCCTTGAACTTACAACAATCCTGCCTCAGCCTCCCAAATACTGGGCTTACAGGTGTGTGTCATCACGCCCAGCTCTGTTTGCTTTTAAATTTTTTTTTTTTTTATTTTGGTGCTGAGAAGTGAACCCAGGGTTTTTGCACTAAGCTACACCCTTAGCCTTTAAAAAAAAAAAAAAAATTAAGACAGGTTCTTGCTAAATTATCCAGGCTAGGCTGGAACTTGGATCCTCCTGCTTCATTCTTCCAGAGTGCTGGGATTACAGGTGTGTACCACCCTGTTTGGGTCTAATTTTTTTTCCCTAATGATGATAAGTTGTTTTGAGCAATTACCATGTACTAGCCACTGTTGGGTTCTTACACATACCTCATTTCACTCCCAATACCCATCAGGCAGGTCTTTTTATCTTGATTTAACAGATGAAGAAAGCAGGTAAAGAGAAGTAAGTTGCTTAAGGTCACAAAGCTTGTTAAGAGCTGAGGGTGGTGGTGCATGCCTATAATTCCTAGAGGCCAAGGGAGGAGGACTGCCATGAGTTCAATCCAGCCTAAACTACACATCGAGATGCTGTCTCAACAAAAACTCCCCAAATAAAAGAACTATCTTGTAAATCTTCCACTGTGGCGTGTCTTAAATCGTCTTTGCTGACCTACATTGGGCAGGTGCTCATTGATTTGTTGAGTGGGCTGCCACTTAGGCTTGGAGCCCAGAACCCTCTGTACCCTCACCTCAGACTGTCCGAGAAGGCCTCCAGGCCAAACTTGGAGACACAGTAGCCCCCGCCATTGGCTGCGAGGCGACCCAGGACGCTGGTGATGTTGACCACTCGGCCCTGGGCTTGCTGTAGCAGGGGCAGCAGGGCAAGGGTGACCCTGATGGGACCCAAGGTATTCACATTCAGCACCTGGTGGAAGTCTTCCCATGTCAGCCAGGGTGTGGGTCCGATGATGCCCGCCACACCAGCATTATTCACCAGGCCAAAAAGCCCTGTGGAGATGAGACAGATGGGGGGCACTGGGGCAGTGCCACAATCTCTCCTACTGGTCCTCCCCACTATTCCTCTAGCTTCCCATAGCCTCTACAAGTAGCTGCTGGGGTCACTGGAGGGGTTGGGAGCATCTTGCACCACCTTCCTGGTAGCTCTACCACTCACCTGCTCCCTGAACATGTGTCTCCACCCACTTGGCTGCCTGCTGGACACTCTGGGGATCGGTGATGTCCAGCAGGATAGTGTGGAGGCGGGAGGAGGCCATCTGCTGTAGTTCCTTTGCCCCAGATGGGGTCAGGCAGCTGGCCAGGACTCGGAAGCCCCTCTGGTCCAGCCGCAGTGCCAGAAGGCGCCCGAAGCCCGAGTCACAGCCGGTGATAAAGACGAAGGGACTGCTGGTGGGCAGTCTCTGCCGGTCTCTGAGCAACCACAGCACTGCCCAGAGCAAGGCACCCAGCAGCAGAGGCAGCCACATGGCTGGACCCAGATGGCCTGCAGGTGGCAGCCTAGGCTGGGCAGGAAAGCTTGTTTACTCTGGCCCTTAAGGCCTTGCCCCTAACATTCTCCCAACTGAAGTGCCTGGTTTGAGCAAATTGAGAAATCATTTGTTTGGCAGATTATTGGCAAAGTATGGCTTACTGTACAAAACAAAAGCATGGGGAGAGGTGTCCCTGTATTTGTGGCGAATGCAGCTACAGCAGTGAGCTGTGTCCTGTGCATGTACCTGCTGTTTGGGAGCAGAAGGATATTCTGGTTTGACCTCACACTTTCGCTTACTAAACCAGAGACACTGAAATCCTCTAAATGTAACCACAGACTTATTTTTGGAACCATATATAGAGCCAGGAGCCCTACATTTCAGTCCCCATGGCCCCAAACTTGCTATGTAATGCTGGGTACCTCACTACATCTCTGAACTTGGTTTTTCTTGTAGCATGTCTGGGTACCTTGGGGTTGTGGCAGATGGAAGGCAATGTTGTGGAAGGACGTTCAAAGCCGAAAGCCTTCAGTTATCAATACAGGTCAATCCAGCTATCTTCTCATCACACCCTCAGCTCCCGGTCCCTGTGTTCTACTTACCTCTCCTGGGGAAAGCAGGCAGATGTTACGAGGAAAGCTGCTGCTTTTGCTTTGCTCCTGGTCTTCCTGGCTCCTGCACTAGCTATGGCAAAGGTCGAAGTCTGAAGGGGGTGGACTCAGGAGCCAGGAGTGCTAAGTGTATGTGGGATGGGGCGGGGGAGGGTCATGGAGGAGGAGCCAGGGAGGCTGGAGCTTACCTGGCTGCAGCTAGGGCTTGACGGAGGCCAGACCTGCGCAGGCAGGCTCCTTGTGGGCTGTCTTTCTGTCTGGCCTCTTCACCATCCCTGCTCTAGCCTCCCAGGGGGAGGAGCTGTCGGATGGCAGCTGCCTTGCTCTGCTGGTGGTCTTGGACCTGTCATTCCTTTCTCTTCTCAGCCCTGAAATGCCCTGAAGAATTAATCCCCCACCCAGCCCAGACGCATGACACTGCTTAGTGCCAGCCTGGGAGAGACCATGAGCACGAGGTAAGGCGGGGAGCCAGAACTGGGACCAGGCCTGCTGCCTGCCTATTTCTCCTCTGCAGGAAACTGAAGTCCAGAGCTGGGAAGTTTGGCATGGGGGCCACTAGGATCTTCTCTGAGGACATGTGGGTAACTTCCACCCTCTGCTTACCCAACAGGCACCTGTACCAGGTCTGAGGAGAGAAAGCTGGGATAGTAAAAGGAGGAAGGAGGAAGCAATCTCTGGACCTTCCACTCTCACCCCTACATCGAAGCCAGTAGCTCCTTGAAACACACCCCATAGAAATGGACACTGTATTTTATTCATGACCCATCAGTCTCCCTCCTGTCCCTACTTGAGGCGAGGGGGAGGGAAGAGGGGCTAGGAGGGGGCAGATTGCAGCTGCCCTTTGTAGACGTACTCCAGGGCGGTGGCAATGGTTCGCATGTCCAGCTCAATGCTCCGAGCCCAATTCTCCACATCCCCGATTTCCTGGGAAGAGTGAGGGGGTTGGAGTCCAGGAGTTAGGGTGTGACTCCCAGTCTAGGGAACACTTTCCATCTATCTCCTGGAAAGGGCCTTACTTGGATCCATCAACTTTTTTTTTTTTGGTACCGGGGATCGAACTCGGGTCCTTGCGCTTGCAAGGCAGGTGGTGGAACCACTGAGCTAAGTCCCCGGCCCAAGATCCATCAACTTTTAACTTTTATTATTATTATTATCTTTTTGGAGACAGGGTCTCACTATGTAGTTCAGGCTGGCCTTGAATTTACTATGTATCCCAGACTGGCCTTGAACTTGTGGCAATCCTCCTACCTCAGCCTCCCATGTGCTGGGATTACAGGCATGCACCACCACACCCGGCTTTTTTTTTTTGAGATAGGGTCTTGCTATGTTGCCCAGACTGGCCTCAAACTCTTGAGCTCAAGTGACCCTACTGCCTCAGCTTCCTGAATAGCTGGGACCACAGGTGTGTGCAACCTCAAGTTGGGCATGATCTGAGCACTTTTTTGTTGTTGTAGTGGTACTGGGGACCAAACCCAGAGCCCTGCACATGCAAGCATGTGTTCCACCACTGAGCTGTGCCCCAAACCCAGCTTTTCTTTCTTTCTTTAGCTTCTTTGACACTGGGACCATAGATGGGATATTTGGGACCATCCCTACTTCTTTCTTATCCAAAGCCCGAGAGAGCCAATGGGAGGTCAAATGAGAGCAGTGACATGTGGACTTCGGCCCACCTTGAGCGCCTGGTTGAAGTTCTCCACCATCCCGATCCACTGGCCTGTCTGTTTGGCAAACTGGGCAGCCTGGACCTGCAGGGTCTTCACTTCATGGTCCAGCTTTCTTTGGTTCATGTAAGCCTGGGCCACACTAAGATTGGAGAAGGGAGGAGATCAGCTCATCCAATGGGTGGGGCTTAGTCTCCAGGACTACATTCCCTTGTAGTAGTGGGAAGCAAGCCAGGAGTCAGGGCTGGGGAAAACATTGCAATTCTGGCCCTTTCAGGATGGGATGCAAATAACTATTAGCATACATGCAAATGAAGCCAGCTCCTTCTTCCACTCCCAGGATTCCCAGGAGTGGCAAGTTGGGAGCTGACCAGAAACACACCCTCTCTTAACCCTCAAAGGAGTTCTTGCAGCTGGGTGGGGGGAGGGGAGTTTAACCTGGGAGGAATATCCCTGAGGAAGAAACTAGGAGGGAAAAGGTGTGGCAATGTTGGGAAAATGTGGCAGCAGGGACACATCTGGCAGTGATTGGAAGCCCAGGGATCTGTGCAAGAAGTTGGAAAGGGAAATTAGGCGTTCCGTGAATCTGGGGTGGGACGGGAGAGCAAACCCCTTCCCCAGAAACCCTTGGACATGAGAGGCTGTCCCAGGAGTTTCTTCCTGGCTCTCTCCCAGTCCTGTCCTTTAGCCCACACAGATGAGCAAACACACATTCCCTCCCTTCTGCTAGTTCTCCTCAATCAAGGTGCTGGCTGTGGTTACTATTAGGACCACAGGGTTGGTGTCCTCAATCCTCCACCAATCTTTTTTGCGCTTCCCTCTCTCATAATAATTGTTCTGCCTTACTGACCCAAGAATATTTTACTCCCCACCCCAAAGCTCTAGGTCAGGCAGGAGACTCCACATCCGGTACCCCACCCATTGGAATGTGTGGGGGCTGAAGGAGGCAACGGGTGGGGGGGGTCAAGAGAGTGGGCAGGACACCTGACCATGGCCAAGATAGACTGAGCCTTTGTCTTCCTTCCTGGGGAATAAGAGGAGCTGTGGGCAGCAACACAAAACCCTTTCTAATCTGGCTTTGCGTTAGCTGCCCTCTAAGCTGAAGTGGAGTAGCCTCTAGCAAAGGAAGAAAAGAGAAGCCTGAGCCAACCTCACAAATGGTGGCACCGCAGAGTCCAGGGGGTGCCCATGTGGGCAGGGGTGGGAGTTTGAGGTTCTGAACCACAGTCTTCCTTTCTCCCAGTTTCCCTCCAGATGAGTAATGAAGATGACCTCAGCCCCTAAATGACTCCCTTGGATGACTCAGTCTCTGGATTCACAACCAAGCTGTTTTGCTCACGCTGGGGTGGAAGGCACCATAATGCCTCCCTTCTTCCAACAGCTGGACTATCGAATGGTCATCTCTGCACTCTTCTGAGTTGCACAGCAAGAGACAACATTTTTTGTTTCTTCCTAAATCTTTGGCTATTGTTGGCATTCTGATTTAGGGCTGGGTATGGGGGTGGTCTCTGGAGGCCCAGAATTGAAGAAACAGCCTGGCTCTGCCATAGCTCCTGGCACAGGTACCACCCTCACCCTCACCAGCTGTGCCATCCCTTTCCTGCCAGCTGTTCTCCTGGCTTGCCAGAGGGTGGTAAACTGTGAGGAAGAGCGTCCTCCCTCCTGCTGAAGTGACAGCTGGATGTGGAATGGTGAAGGGAGATGGGCAGATGGCATCAAGTTGTAAGTGCTGGGAACTTAAGGTGGGGAGGAGAAATTTGGCTGCTTCTCCAACCTCTCCAGCTGCTCCTTCCTCACCAAGTATTAGTGGTCAGAGCTGACTCAAGCCTCTCTCATAAAGTTACTCTGGGAGGCGGGGGTTGGACAGGGGAATGAGTGGACTGTCTCAACCCTTGGAGAGCAGCCCGAGGCTCTGACACTTTGCTGGTGCCTATCTTGGGTGGTGGGTAAGTGGGGGAGGTAATGTGTCTTCGAGAAGAGGCGCATACCCCACATTGAGGTGGTCCACCAAAGCTTCTGTCAGGCAGGTCGCAGCAGTGATAGCTTCTCGCCTCCTCTTTTCTGGGGGAAGGAGGAAAGATATCGGAGTGAAGCCTTGGTTTCTTAGGGGGTGGTACTAATGCTTTCCCACCCATTCATTATTACTCTGCTAGTTCCCAGAACATCCAGCTAAATCCAGAATGCGAGAGCTGGAAACATCCTTGCGGAACACAAGGCAACCCGCTTCACTACAGATATGAGGAAACTGGTACCCTGCAGGGGAAGAGACTTGCTCGCTCAGGGATGCCAAGGAGTCGTGGCAGCGCCCAGAATTCCTGACTCCCAGGCACTCTTTCTCCACTATCTTAGTCAAAGGATGAGCAACCCCGGACTCCCAGTATGGACTGAGGAGAGAAGCGCTCCTTCTTTTTGGTGGCCTCAGGCCTTCCAGGACAGTCTCGGAGCTGTCCAACGCCCTTCTCCCGCCAGCGGCGCTCGCTCTTCGCAGCCAGGACCGGGCTCCCAACCAACAGGCAACTCTACCCAGTGTTTAGAGGCGGGGCTAGGATGCAGCCAGGGCGGGAGTTGGGGGCGTTGCCCAGGGGGACAGAGTTGCCGAAGGTCCCTTAGGCAAGGGGACGTAATTTCCAGAAAAGCCGCCCCCTATGCCCTCTCTTCTACTCGCGCTGCCCGTTACCACGCGCCCTTCCACGGATGTGGGCAGGTACTCGAGGTCCAGGCTCCGCGCTGAAGCTAGGCCGCGGCCGGGGAGAAGGCCGACAGGACTTTACGCTCACCCTGAAGCTCCTTGCGTTCGTTCTGCTTGGCCTGGTGTTCTTTGAGCAGGCGAGACAGCATGGTGGCGTGGGGCGGGGGGTTGGGCCCTCCAGAAATCCTGCGGCTGCGGGACTGGAAGGCGCCCAGACGCCTGCGAGGCCGGGTCACGTGACCATGGCGTCACGTGAGACGGAAGACCGTCCTCTTTTAGAGTCGCGAGGTGTTTGGTTGTGCAGATCTTGGCTGGGAAGGGGGTGCAGAGGGTTGGCGCGCCGGGTGAGCTCTTTATTGGGCGCTCACTTTTTGTTGGTTGTTGGAATTAGTGTTCTTCAGTGCTCATGTTGCAGAGCCAGTTTTTAACATCTCTGTTGGCTCTGAAACCCCTGGGAGGGTTGGTGTTGCCGGAGTCTCTGTCATAGTGCTGTTGGGGTAGCAGTGGCTCCTTGAGCTCGTTTAAATTCTTTTCCTTCTCTGGCGTACCTCCTGGCAGTACTGCCGGTTCTCAGTTGATTCCAGCTCCCTTCCCCAGAAGAAAATGCTTTCCTCTTTTCCGGCACTCTCTCTTCTCACTGACTCACCAGGTCGCTCAGCTCCGGGTGATCACTGTAGGGAAGCATTTTAGGCATTGGCCTTCCATGCTTTGCTAATTTGGCGAGCTGGATGTGGTGAATGTACAATTCCATCTCTGTCCTTTTGTGGTCAGGGAATGTGAACCCAATTAGTCTTAGCAGAAACATTAAGTGCTTCTGCCAAAGTAGAAGGTAAATTATACAGTGCCTCCCTGAACTAAAGAAGAATGCGTCCGGTAGTAATCCCAACAAAAATTATAGACATCATCAACATAATTGCAATTGCTAGAGTGTCTGTTGGTGCTTTTTTTTTTTTTTTAATGGGGGTCTTGTTTTGTTAACCATGCTGCCCTCAAACTCATAATTCTCCTGCCTCAGCCTCCTGAGTAGCTGGAATTACAGGTACACACCAATGTGCTCAGCTTTTGATTTTTTGGGGGGGGGGGTTGAGACACGGTCTCACTATGTAGGTTGGCCTTGAACTCACTATGTCACTACGTAGCCTAGGCTGGCCTCAAACTCACAGGGATCCTCCTGCCTCAGCCTCTTGAGTGTTGGAATTAGCCATGCACCACCACTCCCCGCTCAAAGTCTTGCACTATCATGGTAAGTAATTATGGACAATTTGCTCACCCATTATGTATTTTAGTTTTCTTTTTAATAAAATAGGGAGATTGGGCTCAATCGTTCTCAACCCTGGCTAAACTCACTTGGGAGAGCTTTTAAAATACTTTGGGCTGGATGTGGTGGGACACGCCTGTAATACCAGCACTCAGGAGGCTGAGCAGGAAGATCTGCCTGGAGTTTGAGGCCAGCATGGGCTATACAGTGAGTTCAAGGCCGGCCTGAACTGCATAGCGAGACCCTGTCTCCAAGAAACAAAAAAATCCCAAAAAAGTTTTGATCCTAGATTGAAATAGATTCTCTGAGGGGTGGAGCCTGAACATTTTTATTTTATTCAAAAGCTGTTCAGGTGATTCTGATGTGCATCTGAGGCTGAAAATCACTGGCCTAAACAATATCTAAGATTGTTTCCCATTTTGGGATTTACGCATTTGAGGGTTCAGGGGCGTAGTTGAAAATTTTGTTTTATTTTATTATACAGGGTCTCACTATGTAGCCCAGGCTGGCCACAAACTCCAGGCCATCTTCCTGCCTCAGCCTCCCCAGTGCTGAGATCACAGGTGTGCACCACCATGCCTGGCTCATAGTGGAAACTGACTTCATTATATCTACTACCAGATACAGGAGAACTGAATACTGATTGAATTAGAATAAATTCTTTTTTGAATTTTCTGAGCAAAATTGAGAATTAATGATCGATTAGTTTACTCATCTATTTGTAAAATAGTATCCTAAATCCTGGGAGAGGTAAGTGAGAAAGGTGATCAAAAGATGAGTAAGAAGAAGCACATGAAATGGTTAAGTGGCAGTGTAAAGCAGAACATTAAGTGACAAATTTTCTTTTTCTTTCTGTTTTTTTGGTACGGGGGATCGAACTCGGGTCCTTCTGCTTGCGCAGCAGGCGGCAAAACCACTGAGCTAAATCCCTGGCCCTAAGTGACAAATTTTAAATACAGGCTGGGGTGTAGCTACATGTTAGAGTGTTTGCCTAGAAGGCCCCGAGTTTGACCCCTGATACTATGCACACACAAACACAAAAATCTAAATTGTTTGGCATGGTGGCACATGCCTGTAATGCCAGCACTTGTGAGGCTGAGTCAGGAGGATTACTATACTTTCAAGGCAAGCCCTGGCTACATAGTGAGTTCAAGGCCGACTTGGACTACATAGGAAGACCTTGTCTCAGAAGCAAAAAACTGGGCCGGAGATTTAGCTCAGTGGTTCCGGCACCTGCCTTGCAAATGCAAAGTCCTAAGTTTGATCCCTAGTACCAAAAAAAAAAAAAAAAGCAAAAAACAAAAGAAAATCCCTCAAAACTAAATAAAAATTTTGGATACTGTGTGTCTATATGCTAATATACATACTATGAACATTTTCTCAACATTTTCTAATCACTTATAATAAATAGGTCAAACACTTTAAATGATTTAATTCATTTAGTTTCTAGAACAATTTTTTTTTCTTGAGACAGGGTCTCACTGTGGTTCAGGATGGCCTTGAACTCATCGCAATCTTCCTGCCTCAGCTTCCCAAGTCCTGGGATTACAAGTGTGGGCCACAACTCCCAGCTTCTAAAACAATCTTGTGAAATATTATTGTTACCTTTAATTTTCAGATGAAGACTCTGATGTACAGAGCAGTTAGGTAATAGAGCTCATAAGTGGTAGTGCTAAGATAAAAACTGGAGCTGAGTCCAGAGCCTCCCTCAGTGTAATCCTCTGTACTACAGAAACCCTGAGAGAGACCCCAGCAGGGGACGCCAGGAAGCACTTTCTAGGGCAGCTCCCTGTCTCCTCACTGTGCCCGATAGCTAGATGGGCGTGAGTGGGGATGAACGGAAGGGAATCCTGGCAGTGGGAGCGTTTGGGAAGAGACTGTGCTGCAGAGAAGGATGATCAATAGTAGTGGGAAGAGTGAGAGCATCACCAGGCAGCTTGGCCCAGTCCTCCCCTCCTTGCTTCCAACCACAGTGAGCAAGCAGAACAGAGGCAGATTGGAAGGTGCCTGGTCTTCACTCCCAGGGCTGTGTGGCCTGGGGGAGGACAGGGATTGGCAGAGCTGCTGCAGGACGGGGACCCGAGCAAGTGAAACGGAGGTTTGGGGCTCACGAGGAGGTTGGTATTGGGGACTTCAGGGCTCAGTGTGGAATAAGAACAGGCCAACTGGAGGAGAGTGTCAGGCCCCTGCAGTGCTGCCCTCACCCCCTTGGCACACCCGCCTGACATTTTCACAATCAGTGCAGAGTCTGCCAGGAATCTGCAGACATCAGCCCTGCCTTCCTCTCCCACACACTGGTTGATCCTTTGCCCTAGAGCTGAGCAGTGTCTTATAGCTGGGAACTCTAGCAGATCTCTCCAGGGACATCTTCCATCTCTTCTTTTCCTGGGCCCTTATTGTTCACTGTCTAACCCCGGTTTCTGTTGCTTTTGAAGCTCAGCTCTACCTACTTTTGTTAGAGATGGGCACAAGTTTCATGCATATCTAGACTTGAACTCTGAGATCTCTTTTTTGCTTACCTCTCCCTACAAATGCCACCCAGATTATTTTCCCTTAGGAAGAATGAATGCAACTCCACGCTCCTTTTCTTCACTCCTTTCCGTATTCTGAGGTCTCTCTCAGAGTTAGCTTTAATGAGCAAACTGCAAGCTGGCTGGCTGGGCCAGGCCGGGAGCTGCTGAGTTGTTAGGGCTTGGGTGAGGACTGTGGGAGACATGGAGGGAGTGCAGAAGTCTTCACACACTGGGAAATCTGGCCAGGCTTCAAGAGAGGGGGCCGTTTGTGGTGTGGCCAAGTTCCAAATGTTGGCCTGAAGCCAGGGCTCAAAGAAAAGGGGCCCTCAAGACTGGCTAAATGGCACCCTGTGGGAAATGACCTCCCAATCCTCTCCTTGAGATGCAGGGGTTTCTCTTGGATCCTCAAAGACCAGAGTGGCCAAGCCACTTCCCCATGGACTCCCTTCAGTCTCATCTATCTCCCTCTCCCAGCCATTCTCACAGTTCAGGCTCTGGCTATAGCCAGAATTCAGAGGCAGGCAGAAGGATTTTAGTGCGGGAGCCCTGGGTGGGGTGAGAAAGTCTTCACACTGTGTGTGCTGGGCTTCAAGAGCCTGACCCTGGGATGCACACGCTCCAAGCCTCAGTGCCAGATGAGATGGATAGAGAAGTTAACTCTCGAGTGTGTGTTGTGGAAGTGCTTGCTTGTGTAAGCTACAGAAAACAGCTGGAAACAGTGTGATCTGGGGGATCTGAAATTAGGGATTCCAGATAGAGGGGAAGGAAGTGTAAGTGGGAGAAAGGACTGGAAAAAGCATTATGCCCACTCAGACATGGGCCAAAGTCTTTGGTGGATCTGGACATTTCACAATTTTTAATTTTTGAAAATTTTTTTGAAAGTTTGAGACTCAGAGGAAGTAGCAAAAATAGTGTATGAGAAAAAGAGAATGGAAAAAAATGGAAACAAAACCTTTGTAAATAAGGAGGCGAAGAGGTGTTAAAGGGAGGAGAAGGGAATGGGGAAAAAGAAGCAGCAAGAAATATTGTGTACAGGTAAAATTCCCTATGATAACTGTTATCATTATGTATATATAAAATTACCAATAAACTAAAAATATGCCAAAAAATAATACATGTGGTCTTTCGTGCCATTTGTTCACCTCCGTCCAAGGGTGAGGGACGTGGTATGAAACTGGGAGTACGATATCAAAATCAGGAGGCTGACATTACTATACAGTACTCTCTCTCTTTTTTATTTTTTATTTTTGGTTTTTCTGAGACAAGGTCTCACTATGTAGATCAGACTGGGCTTGAACTTGTGGTGACCCTCCTGTCTCAGCCTCCCAAGTGCTGAGATTACAGGTATGTGCCGCAATGTTTGGTAGTGGTATACAGTACTCTTTTTTTTTTTTTTTTTTTGGTACTGGGGATCAAACTCGGGACCTTTCACTTTCAAGGCAGCACTGGAACCTCTAAGCTAAATCCCCGGCCTGTATACAGTACTCTTAACTAGAT